TGCCAATCTGGTGTCGATTCCCAGAAATTGAATAATTTGTGTGTTGATGGGAGCGGCGAGGGGAGGACGAAAGCCGACTAATCGTACATTTGTATGTACATGTATATGTTACATACATACATTACATATCTACATATTTACAAATGCATATGTACATACGTGCATATTTATGCGTTTGGCTTTTTGCATGAATAGAAAATTTGATTGCAGAAATAATTTTAATGAAATTAATTTTACAAATACATTTGTGCTATATAATATTAAGTTTATTAATTAATATCGGTATTTCGATAACGAGCCATAATTTGTTAGACACACATATGTACGTACAAAAACAGGCAATCAAAAGTGATTGCATGGTTCTTTTTTGTTTAATATTTACAATGTTTTTCAAGTAAACATTTTTTTGTTATTTTTTTATAAGAATATGGTTAATGCTTTATTCGAAAGCACATAAGTCAAACTTTCAAAATTTATACAGAACGTAGTAAAATTCAACAAATTTTCATGGAAATTTTCTACTTTTGGGTTAGCAGATAGATTGGTTATGTATGTAATCATTAAAAATCGACGCGATTTTTTGGCCGCTTAAAACTTGCACTTGCTTTTCTACCGATCTATCATTCTAAAAATTCAGATTAAAAAGTTCAAAATTTGGACGAAATTTTTTTGAATTTTTCTAAGTTTTGCATAAAGTTTGACTTATGTGGTTTTGATTAAAGCATGAATCATATTTGTATAAAAAAAAAAATAACGAAAAAATTTTAACCGCGTGCAGAAATTGTTTGTTTGCAAATGTGAATACATATAAATGCATCTACACAGGTGGGTATTATGCATATGTATTTACAAACATTTTTATACGCTTCCAGATAATTTTGTCTAATAAATAAAAAAGGGGTGTCGATTAAATTCAATTAAAAGGGCGTTAAAATAACTATCAAGTAATTTTTGTTGATAGATATAAACGTGCACAAAAATAAATAATATTTCACAATTGCAAATTTATTCAAATTCTGTTAATTTTGCGCCGCTCTGCACTCACGCTGTTAAAAAATGGTGAACTTCTAGAGCAATCGATGTTAAAATTTAACGTGGTGAACTTCTAGAGCATTTCTGATCTGTTACAAAATACCAACGAGTAGCGTGTTGCTGTTTCTCCGTATTTAACGTTCTCTGGTTCTTTTTTTATATTTGCGCTATGCTAGCTGAGTTTAAAAAGAGAAGAGAATAGAGAGCAATATGTGGTTTGTTGATGCTCTCTAAACACAAACGCGTGAAAGGCAAACGACCTAGCAATACGTGGTATTGTTGATCAACTTAATACTTTAATTAAACATACTTATTATTAAAATTTCATTTTAAAAATACCACTGTGTCCTACTGTGGTAGAAATATGTCATTTTAAAACTTAAATCATAGAAATCGACCCAGTACTCGGCTGTTTTGCTCTCACGTTTTTTTTTTGGGCTTTAATTATATATATATAGTAAAGATAAGCAAGCACCATTCCGTTGGGAACCATTTTGTCCTAGATTTCTAAATCACATTGAGGGACTTTTACTTTCTATTTAATTTTTGGGAGGTTAAATTTTTTTTGAAAATTTTGAAGAATTTTTTTTTAATTTCGCAAAGTTTAAAATTTTAATTTTTATGAGTTTCGTTATAGATTGTCCTATCTACATACATTCATACCTATATACATAAAATGGTAGCTGTTTTTGTTGTTCGGACTAAACTCAAAAACCACTGGATAGAGTTCAGTCAAATTGTAGGAGGTTATACCTTTCACATATGGTCCTATTATAGACTAACTTCTAGAAAACTCGCTTGGTGGCACTGGAGTTGAGTCATTTATAAGAGTCGTATTGATTGACCGATTTCGTTCAAACTCGCAGTGTAAGCCACCTGTATGATGACTTCGTTTGCTAGAAATTGACCTGCTGGGTGGCGCTGGAATCGAGATATTTAGAAAATCCTTATTTTTAATACAACCCTGGATATTTTTAATTTTTACGCATTTACTTTTCAGATGGCTAAATAAAATTGTGTAAGCGCACCTTTGTCTGACGCCCTCACACCCCCTTAGGATAGGTTACGTTATCACCAGGAACGGATTTTTAGGAACTAAAAACCTATAAAGAAGGCAAAATAAAATAACGAAATAGGCAGGAAAAGGCAAAATAAAATTGCGAAATAGGCGGGAAAAGGCACTAGAAATAGCAAAAAAGGAAAAAGAAGGCACTAAAAAAGACAAAAACTTTAAAATAACACTGGTTTACAGGAAAAATGTTCAACGCGCGCCACTACATATCCAGTTCTTATATAAAATTGTAGATTTCGAAAATCCAGGTTATTTTTTATTCTATGTATAGTTTTCGAAATATTTTCAGGTGTATATGGCGTATGAGTAACATTCTTTCCTGCTAATTTTGCATAAAAAAAATCTTTGCGCATTTTCATATGACCACCCAAGGTACATTGAACAGGTAGTATCAGTAGAGCAGCTGATTTGATTTATTTTCAAATTATTTAGTCTCGAAAATGTCAAATATGTTTAATTTTTTCTCACAAAAATTCTGAATTGTTAAAATCCATTTGCAAGTGAAACCTTTTTCCATACAAAACAAGCGATTGAATAGCAGCTTTTGGAACGTTCGCCCAACTCAGCAGCACGACCGCTGATTACTGGGCCTTGCAAAGGATGGATCAATGCTTCGAGAAGCAAACAAATTTACTAGGAAAGAAAATTGCATCAATTTTTATTTTTTCCAATTTCAATTTTTTATTTTTTATGATTTTTTGTATTTCACATGGCACGCTTTGATTTAGAAGAAAAAATTCAGAACAGTTTTTGACACTTTCGATACCAGAAGCAACAACAAAATACACGCAAATGTTGTTTTTGCTCTACTGATACTACCTGTTTAATGTGCCTTGTGACCACCTATTACTTCTTTATTTATCCATCGATTTTCTTTATCATCAACTTGATTTTTTTGTAACAGAACCGGCTTTAACACACCTTTTAATATACTAAATACAAGTGGTGCCCAATTTAATACAAGTGGTGCCCAATTTAAATATGGAACGTTTGAAACTTTTATATTATCAGGAATAAGGGATTTTTCCTCGCTGTAATCACTTTTTTAAAAGCACAATAGGCAAAAAAAGGCAAATATCTTAAAAAAGGCAATAGCAAATGTGTATATATGGAATTAGGGAAAGCTAAATCGTGGATATTCTTAATCAAATATAATCTATCTCTTTAGCAGAAAAAATGCAATTTCCATAAAATCCGTTCCCTGGTTATCACACACCCTTAATGTGATTTTGAGTTTACCTCGGATTAACGAAATTGCTCGGGAGGCCGTAAATGCAGCAGTAGAACTCAATGAAACTAGTTCATAAATATTATGACGAATTGTAAAAGTGGCGAATTGAAAAGGAAAGATTCACCCACATCCGTCCAAGAAGGAACACGGTTGGTATATCAATTGCTTCATTTGAACGATATCACCAGCGATCACACCAGCCATTTAGCCAGTGTTCGGAAAAACTTTTCATCCTGTGGGGCAGCGAGGATTCTTTGCTTTCCTATAACAGAAAACGCTCGTCTGTGCTCTTAGGCTTCCTTATAAGGAGTTTTATTGGCTTCCGCATCGGACCAGTGTTGTAGTTGCAAGATCAAAGAAGATTATGCACGCTTGGCAGAGATTTCACAGGTGGAAATAAGACAATGGGCAAAGCTCACGACATCGAAAGTAATAAGTATTCCATATGGCATCGAAATGCTACTATTTTTGGCCTGGCTAGTCGTTAAAATTTTTTAACTTTACAGACCATTTTTTCTTCTAAACGCTATTTTTGTGTTGGGCCCCCGCAAAAGTTCTTATTAGGCTCCGCGAAGCAAGCGGGCATGGGCTAGGTAATTATAAAAACAGTCATAAATAAGTTAGATATGACTTTTATTTTTTTCGCGGTAGATTTTCCGCTGGAAATTTTATAAAACCCTATAATTATAAAGCTACTGTGAAACTCAGGTTGGGTTAGGTTGAAGTGGCTGCTAGTGACCGTACTACATATCCAGGCCCTTAAGGTTTTGGGCCCGTTGTGATACCACTCGGCACTTTAGAACACTCCTACTCAAACCATCGTGTGGAGTCTACGAAACTCTAGAGTCGTCGTATTCCTACTTCCCCTATGTTGGTTAAACCTTCGAGGAATTCTGAACCCAAGAACTTTTGTCTTCTTTTGCAAAGTGCGAGAAAGCAGGTTCCGTAAGGTTTCCGGCTCTTCTTCATCTCTGCAGCATCTGCATAAGTCGTTGTGGGGGTTCCCTAGCCTCTCCGCGTGCCTTCCAGTGGCAACATGGCCTGTTAGCAGGCCCAAGGCTGTAGCTACCGTTCTTGAGCTGCATGTAACCGAGTCAAGCGCTTTGAGTGACGCCTGACAGTCTGAGTAGGTTAAGATATTGTTACATATTGCTTCTCCTGTACGTAGGTGTTCAATCGCTAACTGTATGGCAGCGAATATCGAAAGCACAGCTATTGCGTTTTGGTTTTATGATGTTAAAGAAATAACAAAAAAAAAAAATGTCAGAATAAAGTACAATTATACCTACCTTTTCCATCACTAGTCTAACTTGTATTTGCTTTCATTTTGAGCACATGGAATGCTGACAACTTGTGGGCCTGCTGACAGGTGGCACAAACAACTGACTGTGATCGGCATGCATGACAACCCCATAAGAATTTTATTCCGTTTCCAATTGCCTTGGTATTAGAATATACCATTCCTGAACCTTACATTACTATCATTTAGTTTTCATAGTGGAGGTGATGTTTCAATTACGTTAAATGTCACAGTGCTAACTAGTGCACTTTTGATACTCCTTTACACTTTTGATTTCCATACTGATTACGATTGAATTGTAAGCACAAATTATTTTTAATTTTTTGTTTTGATTTAAAAGCAATTCACGAGTTACACATTTATTTAACTGATCGAATTTTACTTTTTTCCTGGTAATAGAATATAATACAATAAGTTTCAAATTTGATTTCTAAATTTCACAAAATATTGATGTAAACTTTTTCAAGCTTAGCCAAGTCTTATAGTTCCTTACTAACTCATTTTCATAATAAAAGGTTTTTTAAAAATATGCACATTGATATACAGTATACTTAAATTATAAATAATAATCACATTCTATGTATTTTTCGGTCGAAAGCTAGGTCGCCAATGTCCCGAAGGTCCATACTGCATAGGTAACCAAAAACCAGGACCACCATAACGTGGTGGAGGTGGAAATAAGCCGAGCGGCGGCAACGGTTGCCGCAGTAGTGGCATCATAGCTCCAGGTAAAATGGTTTGCATGTGGTAAGTGCCATGCGGCCCGTGTCGTGGTGCCATCATTGGTGGCGCCCAGTGGTTGTTTGTTGGCCATGTCGACTGCAGAAAAAATGTTTTCGAAATAATAAAAGTATGTATGTTTTTGAATGATAAAAGTATAAACAGAACGAAATCGTTGAGTGAATTTTGTCGGACGGAGCGATGTCGTCGGGTGATATTCGCCGCAAAAGTTCACCCAGTAAAATAGAGCCGAAACGAAATTCGCATCAGTTGAATGACAAATAAAAATATAATTGTACAAAAGCGAAAAGATGAGAAGTGGAGAAACAAAGCTATTTTTCACTGACTGCTGATTTTGTGATCGGCGGCAGCGGCAATTTCGTCAGACTAACTTCCGTCATCGCTTCGGTTGTGTGCAATCTCATATACCGCAGTGTGCAAGGTGTTACTAGATCAGCTGATTTTGTATATGTGTTTTGCCTCACGGCTTCTTATGTTAAATTGAAAAATTTTGTTTGAATTTCCACACACACTCTTAAGGCTGATTCACATACAACTTTCTTCGCTTTACTTGATAGTTCTTTGCTTTGACATATAAGATCGATGTAGGCATATGCATGAGTATGCTCACATAAACAACGTTTGAAGCAAAGCAAAGCAAAACGAAGCAAAATCTTGGGCAACTCTCAACTTTTGCCCGCTTTGGCAATCAGCTGTCTACATGTATCTCTTCTCGTGCGCTTGCATTTGCCTTTAATGACAAAAATAGGGTAAATAGAAATTTTTATTGCTATTATTAATGCATATTATTATATTGTTATCTATTTTACAGATAAAATATATGGAGGAAAAGGAGAACGCAAAAGCTGTCAAAGCGTTTATTGTAGCATACCTTCTGCGTTTCACGCTTTGTTGTCAAAGTTTGAACTGTCAAGCAAAGCGAGGAAAGTTGTGTGTGAATGGCCCTTTACAGATTTTGACAGTTTATGTCGTCAAAGCAAAAAGAAAATACATGTAAGTTTTTTTATTGTACTCCTGCTATCCCCTTATATAAATTCGCCTTGGCAGTGTGTTTTAATTTTGACATTTTTGACGAAGTTTGCTCAACGATTTGATTCTGTTTACAATTTAAGAGTCTGTAGCAGTCTCAATTTCGAAAATACCGAATTCCATTAATTGATTTAAGAAAAATTTTGAAAACCAGGACGGAGCCGATATACATACTATGTACATAAATATGTGCATATCTATCAAATATCAGCGACCGTTTGTCCAGTAGCTGTTACGAACACAACATAATGGAACATTTAAACTATAAGTTGATCCGAGACTCTTGCTTTCGTGAGAGCGATTTTTTTAATAAATAAAAGTGTTAGGCGGAGGCTGTGGTGTAGTGGTTATTAGTGCGCTCTACCAAAATAAAAAATTTTAATATCAAATGTTATATTCTCCATCCAATGGCATCAGAACCCAGACAGTGCTTTGTACATTTTGATAGTTAAGGAGTGGTGTTGCATTTGGAATTTTTTTGTTGATCTGAACTCATTTTCGATAAAAAATTTCAGACAAAACCACCCTGCGAACGATAAAACCATCTTTTCACAGCAACAGAGTACGATGATTTTTTTTTAAGTGTTCTACAAAATCTTAAGCTTAGGTTTATATGGTATTTGTTAGGGAATGAACTGCATTTTAATTGATTGAAAAATCTTGAAAATTAATAAATAAACATAAGTGGCAAAAAATATTATTGTGAATTTGGTACAAAATGATATGTTCAACTTTGACTTTTTAAACAATTTAGTTCTTGTAAAAATGATATACCATTGCACTAAATATTTTTGTTTAATAAAGTTTTTCTTTACATGTTTATTTATTTACATAATGCTACGATTTTGGTTTTGAACTATGTATACTTCATTAAATGTTGTTATTCAAGTATTTATGTAAGTTAACAACAAGATGTAACTACATCAGTAATTATGTCCGCTTAAGTACCCGCATCGAGGTACTTAAGCGGGTTCTCTTAAGTAGAACCGAGTTCAGCAAAGCACGACAGTCGTTTCTCCTCTGTGCCAACTGACGCCAATTGGAAACGCCAAGTGAAGCCAAGTCCTTCTCCACCTGATCTTTCCATCGCAGTGGGGGCCTCCCTCTTCCTCTGCTACCACCAGCGGGTTCCGAGTTGAATACTTTCACCACCATTCGAACGACATGACCAAGCCAGCGGAGCCGCTGTATTTTAATTCGCTGCATTATGTCCATATCGTTGTAAAGCTCATACAGCTCATCGTTCCATCGTCTGCGGTACTCGCCGTCGCCAACGCGTAAAGGCCCGTAAATCTTCCGCAAAATTTTTCTCTCAAACACTCCAAGAGCCGCCTCATCGGATGTTGTCATTGTCCATGCTTCTGCGCCATATACCAGCACGGGCATGATGAGTGACTTATAGAGCGCGGTTTTCGTACGTCGAGAGAGGACTTTACTCCTGAATTGCCTACTCAGTCCAAAGTAGCACTTGTTGGCAAGAGTGATTCTACGTTGGATTTCAATGCTGACATTATTATCGGTGTTAATGCTGGTTCCCAAGTAAACGAAATTCTCTACTTTCTCGAAATTGTAACTGTCAACAGTGACGTGGGTTCCAAGGCGCGAATGTGCTGACTGTTTGTTTGATGACAGGAGATACTTCGTCTTGTCCTCGTTTACCACCAGACCCATGCGCTTTGCTTCCCTATCCAACTTGGAAAAGGCAGAACAGACTTCGCGGTTTTTGTTACCGATGATGTCGATGTCATCGGCATAAGCCAGCAATTGCACGCTCTTTTAGTAAATTGTTACTGAGCGATTCAGTTCTGCAGCTCTTATTATCTTCTCCAACATCAGATTAAAGAAGTCACATGACAGGGAGTCGCCCTGTCTGAAACCCCGTTTTGTGGCGAACGGCTCGGAGAGGTCTTTTCCAATTCTGACGGAGCTGGTGGTATTGCTCAACGTCATTTTACACAGCCGTATGAGTTTTGAGGGGATGCCAAATTCAGACATAGCGGCGTATAGGCAACTCCTTTTAGTGCTGTCAAAAGCGGCTTTAAAGTCGACAAATAGGTGGTGAGTGTCGATCCTTTTCTCGCGGGTCTTTTCCAAGATTTGGCGTATTGTGAATACCTGGTCTATGGTGGATTTGCCAGGTCTAAAGCCACACTGATAAGGCCCAATCAGTTCATTGACGGTGGACTTCAGTCTTTCACACAATACGCTCGATAAGACCTTGTAACCTATGCTTAGAAGGCTGATCCCGCGGTAGTTGGCGCGAATGGAGGGGTCACCTTTCTTGTAGATTGGGCAGAGCACACTTAAATTCCAGTCGTCGGGCATGCGTTCATCTGACCATATTCTGCACAAGAGTTGATGCATGCACCTTATCAACTCCTCGCCGCCGTACTTGAATAGCTCAGCTAGCAGGCTGTCAGCTCCAGCGGCTTTGTTGTTTTTCAGCCGCGTTATTGCTATACGTACCTCGTCATAGTCAGGCGGTGGAATGTCGACTCCGTCATCATCGACTGCGGGCTCGGGTTCTTCTTCTCCACAACTTTCCGTGCTGCTACCATTTAGAAAGCCGGAAAAGTGTTCCCTCCATAATTTAAGTACGCTCTGGACATCAGTTACTAGGTCGCCATTATTGTTCTTACAGGAGTGCGCCCCGGTCTTTAAACCTTCCGTAAGTCGCCTAACTCTCTGGTAAAATTTTCGGGCATTCCTCCTGTCGGCCAGCATTTCAAGCTCTTCGCACTCACGTATTTCTGCCTCTCTCTTCTTGTTGCGGCAAATACGTCTCGCTTCCCTCTTCAGATCCCTATAGCGGTCCCACATAGCGCGCGTTGCGCCCGATCGCAGCGTGGCCTTGTAGGCGACATCTTTTTTCTCTGCAGCTTCCTGACACTCCTTAACGTACCAGTTGTTCTTTCGGGCTCGCTGAAATCCGACTACTTCTTCGGCGGCGGTACTTAATGAGCGGGAAATGTGGTTCCACTGCTCGCATATGTCGGTTTGTTGAAGAGTGCTCTCTGAGAGCAGGTGTGCGAGTCGAGTAGCGAAAGCGCTGGCTGTCTGTTGTGATTGCAGCTTTTCGACGTTAAGCTTTCCTTGCATATTTGGGCGCACATTTTTTGCTGCACAGAGGCGGGTGCGTATAGTGGTCCGAGTCGATGTTTGGGCCTCGGAGTGTGCGTACGTCTAAAACACTGGAAGCGTGCCTTCCGTCTATCACAATGATCGATTTGGTTTCTCGTTTTTCGATCCGGAGACAGCCAGGTAGCTTGATGGATCTTTTTACGGACGTTTCGTCGTGGAGGCTGAATTTTCCGACGGTGGTTCCAAAGATCCCTTCTTTGCCCACCCTGGCATTGAAGTCGCCAAGCACGATTTTGATATCATTACGGGGGCAGCGCTCGTACGTGCGCTCCAAGCGCTCAAAGAAGAGATCCTTGGATGCCTCATCCTTCTCTGCCGTCGGGGCATGGGCGCAGATGAGCGAGATGTTAACGAATCTAGCTTTGATGCGGATTGTGGCTAGACGCTCATCCACCGGGGTGAACGACAGTACTCGGCGACGGAGTCTCTCTCCCACCACAAATCCAACTCCGAATCTGCGCTCCTTTACATGACAGCTGTAGTAGACGTCGCAAGGCCCTATACATTGTTTGCCTTGCCCCGTCCAACGCATTTCTTGGATGGCGGTGATGTCAGCTTTTGTCCTTACGAGGACATCAACCAGCCGGGCAGAGGCACCTTCCCCATTAAGGGTCCGGACATTCCAGGTGCATGCCCTCAAATCGTAGTCCTTTAAACGTTTGCCGTGGTCGTCATCATAAGGGGGGGGTCTCATCCGAGGCTTTGCCTTGCTTCTTCACTGGAAGTGGCTTTTACGTGGCGGGTCCCAAGCCCAGCGCACAACCCATTGCTGGGACGGGGGTGGTTTCGCAACCAAATACACGTTTATATAGCGAGCCGCTTGCTCCAAGCAGACACCCGCTTGCAGCCGCACCTACTGGTGAACAGACGCTGCAGACTTCAGTGAGCCCTTAAACCGAATAAGTCGG